AGTCTATAGTCTAGTCTATAGTCTAGTCTATAGTCTAGTCTATAGTCTAGTCTATAGTCTAGTCTATAGTCTAGTCTATAGTCTAGTCTATAGTCTAGTCTATAGTCTAGTCTATAGTCTAGTCTATAGTCTAGTCTATAGTCTAGTCTATAGTCTAGTCTATAGTCTAGTCTGTAGTCTAGTATGTAGTCTAGTCTACAGTTCTAGTCTGTAGTCTAGTCTATAGTCTAGTCTATATCTAGTCTATAGTCTAGTCTGTAGTCTAGTCTATAGTCTAGTCTATAGTCTAGTCTATAGTCTAGTCTATAGTCTAGTCTATAGTCTAGTCTATAGTCTAGTCTATAGTCTAGTCTATAGTCTAGTCTATAGTCTAGTCTGTAGTCTAGTCTATAGTCTAGTCTATAGTCTAGTCTATAGTCTAGTCTATAGTCTAGTCTATAGTCTAGTCTATAGTCTAGTCTATAGTCTAGTCTATAGTCTAGTCTATAGTCTAGTCTATAGTCTAGTCTATAGTCTAGTCTATAGTCTAGTCTATAGTCTAGTCTATAGTCTAGTCTATAGTCTAGTCTATAGTCTAGTCTATAGTCTAGTCTATAGTCTAGTCTATAGTCTAGTCATAGTCTAGTCTATAGTCTAGTCTAAAGTCTAGTCTATAGTCTAGTCTATAGTCTAGTCTATAGTCTAGTCTATAGTCTAGTCTAAGTCTAGTCTATAGTCTAGTCTATAGTCTAGTCTATAGTCTAGTCTATAGTCTAGTCTATAGTCTAGTCTATAGTCTAGTCTATAGTCTAGTCTATAGTCTAGTCTATAGTCTAGTCATAGTCTAGTCTATAGTCTAGTCTATAGTCTAGTCTATAGTCTAGTCTATAGTCTAGTCTATAGTCTAGTCTATAGTCTAGTCTATAGTCTAGTCTATAGTCTAGTCTATAGTCTAGTCTATAGTCTAGTCTATAGTCTAGTCTATAGTCTAGTATAGTCTAGTCTATAGTCTAGTCTATAGTCTAGTCTATAGTCTAGTCTATAGTCTAGTCTATAGTCTAGTCTATAGTCTAGTCTATAGTCTAGTCTATAGTCTAGTCTATAGTCTAGTCATAGTCTAGTCTATAGTCTAGTCTATAGTCTAGTCTATAGTCTAGTCTATAGTCTAGTCTATAGTCTAGTCTATAGTCTAGTCTATAGTCTAGTCTTAGTCTAGTCTATAGTCTAGTCTATAGTCTAGTCTATAGTCTAGTCTATAGTCTAGTCTATAGTCTAGTCTATAGTATGGTCTATAGTGTAGTATAGTCTGGTCTGTAGTCTAGTCTATAGTCTAGTCTATAGTATAGTATATAGTCTAGTCTATAGATAGTCTATAGTCTAGTCTGTAGTCTAGTCTGTCTAGTCTATAGTCCAGTCTGTAGTCTAGCTATAGTCAGTCTATAGTCTAGTCTATAGTCTAGTCTGTAGTCTAGCTGTAGTCTAGTCTGAAGTCTAGTCTGAAGTCTAGTCTGTAGTCTAGTCTGAAGTCTAGTCTGTAGTCTAGTCTATAGTCTAGTCTATAGTCTAGCCTATAGTCTAGTCTATAGTCTAGTCTATAGTCTAGTATATAGTCTAGTCTATAGTCTAGTCTATAGTCTAGTCTATAGTCTAGTCTATAGTCTAGTCTATAGTTTAGTCTATAGTCTAGTCTGTAGTCTAGTCTATAGTCTAGTCTATAGTCTAGTCTATAGTCTAGTCTATAGTCTAGTCTATAGTCTAGTCTATAGTCTAGTCTATAGTCTAGTCTATAGTCTAGTCTATAGTCTAGTCTATAGTCTAGTCTATAGTCTAGTCATAGTCTAGTCTATAGTTAGTCTATAGTTCTAGTCTATAGTCTAGTCTACAGTCTAGTCTATAGTCCAGTCTGTAGTCTAGTCTATAGTCCAGTCTATAGTCTAGTCTATTAGTCTATAGTCTAGTCTATAGTCTAGTCTATAGTCTAGTCTATAGTCTAGTCTATAGTCTAGTCTATAGTCTAGTCTATAGTCTAGTCTATAGTCTAGTCTAGTCTAGTCTAGTCTATAGGTCTAGTCTATAGTCCTCGTCTATAGTCTAGTTCTATAGTAGTCTATAGTCTAGTCTATAGTCTAGTCTATAGTCTAGTCTATAGTCTAGTCTATAGTCTAGTCTATAGTCTAGTCTATAGTCTAGTCTATAGTCTAGTCTATAGTCTAGTCTATAGGTCTAGTCTATAGTCTAGTCTATAGTCTAGTCTATAGTCTAGTCTATAGTCTAGTCTTAGTCTAGTCTATAGTCTAGTCTATAGTCTAGTCTATAGTCTAGGTCTATAGTTAGGTCTATAGTCTAGTCTATAGTCTAGTCTATAGTCTAGTCTATAGTCTAGTCTATAGTCTAGTCTATAGTCTAGTCTATAGTCTAGTCTATAGTCTAGTCTATAGTCTAGTCTATAGTCTAGTCTATAGTCTAGTCTATAGTCTAGTCTATAGTTCTAGTCTATAGTGTAGTCTATAGTTCTAGTCTATAGTCTAGTCTATAGTCTAGCCTATAGTCTAGTCTATAGTCTAGTTTTATAGTCTAGTCTTTAGTCTAGTCCATAGTCTAGTCTATAGTCCAGTCTATAGTCCAGTCTGTAGTCTAGTCTATATTCCAGTCTATAGTCTAGTCTATAGTCTAGCTATAGTCTAGCTATAGTCTAGCTATAGTCTAGCTATAGTCTAGCTATAGTCTAGTTTAGTCTATAGTCTAGTCTATAGTCTAGTCTATAGTCTAGTCTATAGTCTAGTCTATAGTCTAGTCTATAGTCTAGTCTATAGTTTAGTCTGTAGTCTAGTCTGTAGTCAAGTCTGTAGTCTAGTCTGTAGTCTAGTCTATAGTTTAGTCTAATAGTCTAGTCTATAGTCTAGTCTATAGTCTAGTCTATAGTCTAGTCTATAGTCTAGTCTGTAGTCTAGTCTATAGTCTAGTCTGTAGTCTAGTCTATAGTCTAGTCTATAGTCTAGTCTATAGTCTAGTCTATAGACTATAGACTAGTCTATAGTCTAGTCTATAGACTATAGACTAGTCTATAGTCTAGTCTATAGTCTAGACTATAGTCTAGTCTATAGTCTAGTCTATAGTGTAGTCTATAGCCTAGTCTGTAGTCAAGTCTGTAGTCTAGTCTGTAGTCTAGTCTATAGTTTAGTCTATAGTCTAGTCTATAGTCTAGTCTATAGTCTAGTCTATAGTCTAGTCTATAGTCTAGTCTATAGTCTAGTCTATAGTCTAGTCTATAGTCTAGTCTATAGTCTAGTCTATAGTCTAGTCTATAGTCTAGTCTATAGTCTAGTCTATAGTCTAGTCTATAGTCTAGTCTATAGTCTAGTCTATAGTCTAGTCTATAGTCTAGTCTATAGTCTAGTCTATAGTCTAGTCTATAGTCTAGTCTATAGTCTAATCTGTAGTCTAGTCTGTATTCTAGTCTGTAGTCTAGTCTAGAGTCTAGTCTGCAGTCTAGTCTGTAGCCTAGTCTATAGTCTAGTCTATAGTCTAGTCTATAGTATAGTCTGTAGTCTAGTCTATAGTCTAGTCTGTAGTCTAGTCTGTATTCTAGTCTGTAGTCAGTCTAGAGTCTAGTCTGTAGCCTAGTCTGTAGTCTAGTCTGTATTCTAGTCTATAGTCTAGTCTATAGTCTAGTCTATAGTCTAGTCTATAGTCTAGTCTATAGTCTAGTCTGTAGTCTAGTCTATAGTCTAGTCTGTATTCTAGTCTGTAGTCTAGTCTGGAGTCTAGTCTGTAGTCTGGTCTGTAGCCTAGTCTGTAGTCTAGTCTGTAGTCTAGTCTATAGTCTAGTCTATAGTCTAGTCTATAGTCTAGTCTATAGTCTAGTCTATAGTCTAGTCTATAGTCTATAGTCTAGTCTATAGTATAGTCTATAGTATAGTCTGTAGTCTAGTCTATAGTCTAGTCCGTAGTCTAGTCTGTATTCTAGTCTGTAGTCAGTCTAGAGTCTAGTCTGTAGTCTAGTCTGTAGCCTAGTCTGTAGTCTAGTCTAGAGTCTAGTCTGTAGTCTAGTCTGTAGCCTAGTCTGTAGTCTAGTCTGTAGTCTAGTCTATAGTCTAGTCTATAGTCTAGTCTATAGTCTAGCCTATAGTCTAGTCTATAGTATAGTCCATAGTATAGTCTGTAGTCTAGTCTATAGTCAAGTCTGTAGACTAGTCTGTATTCTAGTCTGTAGTCTAGTCTAGAGTCTAGTCTGTAGTCTAGTCTGTAGCCTAGTCTGTAGTCTAGTCTAGAGTCTAGTCTGTAGTCTAGTCTGTAGTCTAGTCTGTAGTCTAGTCTATAGTCTAGTCTATAGTCTAGTCTATAGTCTAGTCTATAGTCTAGTCTATAGTCTAGTCTATAGTCTAGTCTATAGTATAGACTATAGTATAGTCTGTAGTCTAGTCTATAGTCTAGTCTGTAGTCTAGTCTGTATTCTAGTCTGTAGTCTAGTCTAGAGTCTAGTCTGTAGTCTAGTCTATAGTATAGTCTATAGTCTAGTCTATAGTCTAGTCTATAGTCTAGTCTAGAACATAGACTATACACTAGACTATAAACATAGTCTAGTCTATAGTCTAGTCTATAGTCTAGTCTATAGTCTAGTCTATAGTCTAGTTTATAGTCTAGTCTATAGTCTAGTCTATGGTCTAGTCTATAGTCTAGTCTATAGTCTAGTCTATAGTCTAGTCTATAGTCTAGTCTATAGTCTAGTCTATAGTCTAGTCTATAGTCTAGTCTATAAACTAGGCTATAGTCTAGTCTATAAACTAGGCTATAGTCTAGTCTATAAACTAGACTATAGAGTACAGACCAGACTATAGGCTATAAACTAGACTATATACTAGACTATAGACTACAGACTAGACCATAGGCTATAGACTAGACTAAGATTTTCAAAATTAAACATCTATAAGGAAAACGAAAAGTATTATAAATTCTATCTGTTTCCATAATTCTTAAGTTAATACATTGGATTTTTTTGGACAAATAAAAATTTTACTTACATATTTTGGAAATGTATCCTTCTTCATCCCGCCGTGCACTTATATTTGCTTCATTTTAAGTGTCTTCTATTATAATCTGTAAACAAAAAAACAATAAAGATGTTATAAGAAATATGAAGAAAAAAATACCGAATCAAGTGCTTACATTAGTCATTAATGTGAAATTTATAGCCAATCGTACATACATCTTAACATATGACAACATGCGAAGCTAAATCCCTAAAAGAAGTCCGTCCCGAGTTAAAAAAAAAAAAAAAAAAAAAACATTAAAGTAAAACAGCAAACAAATGTACAATATTGTAAACATTTCTACACACATTTATAGATGAATAGAAAAATGTCTTGGAATAAAATACCACCTTGTTGAGTATGTTGAATGCAAGAGGTGCGTTTTGTATACAGATATTTTCTTACAATAAAGATCAAACAACTGGAAGATTTTTCCTAAATAAATAAATTTAAATGTATACAAAAAACACACACGCACAAGATCAATAGAACAGACGGACGGACTTAACAGCCAATTTAAGACAAAAGTGATTAAATATTTATTATAGGGAAGTTTTCTAATTTAAATCTATCGACAAATCTTAAAGACTTTAAGAATTTATTCGAAAATTGTATATTTGAGAAATAATATTGTAAAATGTTAAGGAAATTGCTTCAGAGGACGCGTGTGTGTGTAGCTTTATTAAAATAAGCCATTATTTTACTACTTCTATGTAAAAAACAAGTAGTAAGCACACAAATGAAAGTCTTTGCTTCGTTTTTACTGGGAAGTTTTTGTTTGGTTTTTATTCAAAAGATAGGTAGGTGTGTCTATGTAGTTACAATAATTCCAAAAATTAAAACTTATTAATCCACCCTCGTATGAAATATGTATATCAATATGTAGATACATATATTAAAATTTATATTTTAACAATATCCATGCAACTAAAGTAAGTCCACATGAAAGTAATTAAATAAAAACTGACCTGTCTCCATAGAAGTGCAACTACTCCACAAGTATGCAGATGTCACTTTAGACAAAAACTACATAAAACATCTACACAAAGGTAAGTACTTTTGAAAGTATGTATTATGTTCAATTGTTAAAAAATTTTTAATTTATTTAAAAAAAATTTAAATAATTACGAACATGTACGACAAACATAAAATACTTCAGAAAAATCTTCAAGAGGATTATGACTACTTAAATTGTTTGAACAATACTGTTTCAAGATATTCATCTCGTATTTCAATTTCAAGTGATTGCAATGAAATTTTAGCTGCTAATCAATTGTAGAAGTAATAACAACAAAAACAAAATTTAATAAACAATTGCTGGTAATTTTAGTCTAGTTTTTCTTTTTTGTGTTTGTTTGTCATGTAGTTATAGTTGAATGTGCTATTGTTAACATATTAGTAAACTAGTTATAATGGCATTACAAAGAATTTAGATTAAGATCTTCTATTTCAAAATGTATATACATAATTGTTTGATGTTGCAGCATTAACATGACAAAAAAGAGTGGCTTTTTTGTTGTTGATTGTTTGTCTTTTGCAGAGGAAATCTAGAAGTTTGTATATGAATGAATGGCAAAATAGTTTCAGCCTTCTTTATGGGGATTTGCAATGATTTTCAATTAGTTGGATATATTTATAATTGCACATTAATTCACACAAGCACAGTGGGCAGTAGGGCATTTAATAAAGAAATATTTATTTTTCAATTGAGTATAAATCAAAAAAAAAAAAAAAACTCTTTTGAACACTCAAAAACTATTTTTTTGTCTAAATATTTAAATCAGCTTTCTAGTCTAGTCTATAGTCTAGTCTATAGTCCAGTCTATAGTCTAGTCTATAGTCTAGTCTATAGTCTAGTCTACAGTCTAGTCTATAGTCTAGTCTATAGTCTAGTCTACAGTCTAGTCTATAGTCTAGTCTATAGTCTAGTCTATAGTCTAGTCTATAGACTAGTCTATAGTCAAGTCTATAGTCTAGTCTATAATATAGTCTACAGTGTAGTCTATAGTCTAGTCTATAGGCTACACTATAGTCTAGTCTGTAGTCTAGTCTATAGTCTAGTCTATAGTCTAGTCTAGTCTATTCTATAGTCTGGTCTATAGTCTAGTCCATAGTCTAGTCTATAGTCTAGTCTATAGTCTAGTCTATAGTCTAGTCTATAGTCTAGTCTATAGTCTAGTCTATAGTCTAGTCTATAGTCTAGTCTATAGTCTAGTCTATAGTCTAGTCTATAGTCTAGTCTATAGTCTAGTCTATAGTCTAGTCTATAGTCTAGTCTATAGTCTAGTCTATAGTCTAGTCTATAGTCTAGTCTATAGTCTAATCTATAGTCTAGTCTATAGTCTAGTCTATAGTCTAGTCTATAGTCTAGTCTATAGTCTAGTCTATAGTCTAGTCTATAGTCTAGTCTATAGTCTAGTCTATAGTCTAGTCTATAGTCTAGTCTATAGTCTAGTCTATAGTCTAGTCTATAGTCTAGTCTATAGTCTAGTCTATAGTCTAGTCTATAGTCTAGTCTATAGTCTAGTCTATAGTCTAGTCTATAGTCTAGTCTATAGTCTAGTCTATAGTCTAGTCTATAGTCTAGTCTATAGTCTAGTCTATAGTCTATATAATCTAGTCTACCGTCTAGTCTATAGTCTAGTCTATAGTCTAGTCTATAGTCTAGTCTATAGTCTAGTCTATAGTCTAGTCTATAGTCTAGTCTATAGTCTAGTCTATAGTCTAGTCTATAGTCTAGTCTATAGTCTAGTCTATAGTCTAGTCTAGTCTATAGTCTAGTCTATAGTCTAGTCTATAGTCTAGTCTATAGTCTAGTCTATAGTCTAGTCTATAGTCTAGTCTATAGTCTAGTCTATAGTCTAGTCTATAGTCTAGTCTATAGTCTAGTCTATAGTCTAGACGTTAGTCTAGTCTATAGTGTAGTCTATAGTCTAGTCTATAGTCTAGTCTATAGTCTAGACTTTAGTCTAGTCTATAGTCTAGTCTATAGTATAGTCTACAGTCTAGTCTATAGTCTAGTCTATAGTCTAGTATATAGTCTAGTCTATAGTCTAGTCTTTAGTCTAGTCTATAGTCTAGTCTATAGTTTAGTCTATAGTCTAGTCTATAGTCAAGTCTATAGTCTATTCTATAGTCTAGTCAATAGTCTAGTCTGTAGTCTAGTCTAGTCAAAAGTCTAGTCTAGTCCATATTCTAGTCTATAGTCTAGTCAATAGTCTTTTCTAGGCTATAGACTAAACTATAGTCTAAATATACGGTCTATTTTACATTCTAGTCTATAGCTTAGTCCATTGGGAATTCTATAGTCTAGCATGTAGCCTGATGTATGGTCTACTATATAGCCTGATATATAGTCTATTATATAGCCTAATCTATAGTCTAGTATATATTATAGTATGTAGTCATTAGTTAGGCATTTCTATAGTCAATATATACTCTAGTTCCGAAAGTTTAAAATTCAATGATTTCGATAAACATTGAGAAAGATCTAAATATTTTGGATTAACAACGAAACCTTTGAATTTCGTTTAAAGAGAGTTCGATCTCTCAAGGAGTATATCAATCTTAACAAATCTGCTATTTCTTTGATCTCATATCATGGTTAATTTACCTTGTAAAAAGAGAGAGAAAAAAAAGACTTAAATAATATTTTGCATTTCCTCCTCTAGTCATAAGTCGGCAAAAAACGTTTGAAGTTGTGTCATGTTGTCGCTAATGTAGTTGTAGTTGTTGATGTTGTCGTTTGTTGTTGTAGCTGTTGTCTTTTGCTTAGATTGCAGTTGCCATGTCTTCACATCCATTTAACTTTAACTTAATAATCTATTGATGACAATATTTTTCATTTGCTTTTAATTTTTTTTTTGCTCTTCTGCTTTTGATCTATAACTTTTATCTTGTTTAAAACAAAAAAACATTATTTGACTTATAAGCAAGGGGACTCCACTCTAGTGTCTAATGTTTGTATATTAGTTGATTATATTTTTTGTTATTTGGTTTTGGTTTCTTTAATGGATGTTTGTTTTTGAAAATGGTATGAGAGAAGTTTGTTGGTTGGTTTGATTTTACTTTAGTTGCGATGAATGTGTTCGACTATTTCATTTCAGTTTTGGATTTTTTTTTGCATTTTTTCTTTTTTCATTATTATTTGCAAATGTTTAGTTTATATTATTTGCCATTAACTAGTTTTCTGGTCGGCTGAGTTCAAAACAGCCGTAGAGTGGAAGCACTATTAAAATGGCAACAAACACACAGAAAGATATAAAGAAATAAATAAAAACAACAACAACAGCAACAATAACTTCATGTTCTATACATTTATTAATCTGTGTACTTGGGTTGTTTGAAGTACTATTTTTATTTATTTGATTTTATTTGTTTCGGAGTACCCTATATCGAGGAATGGAAGTTTGATAAAACGGTACTCTGGTGATTTTTAAAGCTTCCTGCAAGAAGCCAGTATCATGCCATCTGTCTACTTGCCCGAGTTAAATGTAACATACCCTTAAATGTCTAGTCCAGTCTATAGCCCAGTCTATAGTCTAGTCTATAGTCTAGTCTATAGTCTAGTCTATAGTCTAGTCTATAGTCTAGTCTATAGTCTAGTCTATAGTCTAGTCTATTCTATAGTCTAGTCTATAGTCTAGTCTATAGTGTAGTCTATAGTCTAGTCTATAGTCTAGTCTATAGTCTAGTCTATAGTCTAGTCTATAGTCTAGTCTATAGTCTAGTCTATAGTCTAGTCTATAGTCTAGTCTATAGTCTAGTCTATAGTCTAGTCTATAGTCTAGTCTATAGTCTAGTCTATAGTCTAGTCTATAGTCTAGTCTTTAGTCTAGTCTTTAGTCTAGTCTATAGTCTAGTCTATAGTCTAGTCTATAGTCTAGTCTATAGTCTAGTCTATAGTCTAGTCTATAGTCTAGTCTATAGTCTAGTCTATAGTCTAGTCTATAGTCAAGTCTATAGTCTAGTCTATAGTCTAGTCTATAGTCTAGTCTATAGTCTAGTCTATAGTCTAGTCTATAGTCTATAGTCTAGTCTATAGTCTAGTCTATAGTCTAGTCTATA